GCAAGACTGTGTCTCAAAAAAAAAAAAAAAAAAAAAAAAAAAAAAAGGGCATGTAACAGGAAGTTAACACTATGTTAAATTTCAGTGTCATTCAGGTGCTCCCACCTGTAATCCCAGCACTTTGGGAGGCTGGGGCGGGAGGACTGCTTGAGCTCAGGAGTTCAATACCAACCTGGGCAACACGTCAAAACCCCGGGCTCTACAAAATATACAAAATTTAGCTGGGTGTGGTGGAGCATGCCTGTAATCCCAGCTACTCAGGAGGCAGAGGCATGGGAATTGCTTGAACCCAAAAGGTGGGGGTTGCAGAAAAAAAAATTTTGTGTGTCATTAACGCCCATAGCCCTGAGATAAATTCCCATTTTACAGATGCGGAGATGAGCTTCAAAGACCAGTAACTTGCCAGACATAACAAAGCCACACTAAACATGGGGATGAAGATTCAAATCCAAGTCTGACTCCCTCAAAATTCTAAGTATATGCTAAAAAACTGTCTCTACTCTAAAAGAAGCAAATTAAAAATTATGACCAGATTAGGAAACATGTCTTAAAATATGAAGCTTAGGGCAAGACGCAGTGACTCGCACCTGCAACCCCAGCAATTTGGAAGGTTAAGGCAGGAGGATCACGTGAGGCCACACCACACTGGTCAACAGAGCAAGACTATCTCAAAAAATTAGCTGGTGTGCTGGTGTACTACTGCAGTCCCGGCTACCTGGGAGGCTGAGGTGGGAGGATCTCTTGAACTCAGAAACCCGAGGCTGCAGTGAGCTATGATCACACCACTACACTCCAGACTGGGTAAGCGAATAAGACCCGACTCTAAAATTAAAAATAAATAGCGACACTTAGAAGCCTGAGTCTACACTTGACTCTAGAACTCTGTCACTCAGTGCAGTGGCACGATCTCAGCTCATGGCAACTTCTGCCTCCTGAGTAGCTGGGACCACAGGTGTGTGCCACCATACCCAGCTAATTTTAACTAACTTCTGGGCTCAGGGATCCTCCTGCCTCAGCGTCCCAAAAGGGTTTCACCATGTTATCCTGGCTGGTCTCGAACTCCTGAGCTCAAAGCAATCTGCCCATCTCAGCCTCCCAAAGCACCGAGATTACAGGCGTCAGCCATCACGTCCAGCCATGTTTCTTAAACTAATTCGTTTCTGTGCCTTTAATAGATGGAACTGTCAACTACGGAAGCATTTAGTAATTGAGAGGACGGAAAACAGGTCCTGAAGTCAGGTTGTGGGCTGGGGCTTAGCTACCAGCCCCAAATGCTGAAGTCCTGGGATGCACACTAAACAAAATGGGTTCCACAAGACAACTGGGAGCTCTTCCAACCAGCTTTCTCTCCATGAACACCCACTTTGGGACTTTCATATGCTGCTCCCATCACGAAGGCCTTGGTTCTTCACTACCCCTCATCTTCAACCTCACTGTCAGCTGGCTCTGCCAATGAAATCTTTTTAGCTTATCTGCTAGAAAATTATCTGATTTTTTTTTTTTTTTTCTGGGGATGGTTTTTTTTTTTTTTTTGAGCCGGAGTTTCGCTTTTGTTACCCAGGCTGGAGTGCAATGGCGCGATCTTGGCTCACCGCAACCTCCGCCTCCTGGGTTCAGGCAATTCTCCTGCCTCAGCCTCCTGAGTAGCTGGGATTACAGGCACGCACCACCATGCCCAGCTAATTTTTTGTATTTTTGGTAGAGACGGGGTTTCACCATGTTGACCAGGATGGTCTCAATCTCTTGACCTCGTGATCCACCCGCCTCGGCCTCCCAAAATGCTGGGATTACAGGCTTAGCCACCGCGCCCAGCCGAGATGGGGTGTTACTCTGTCACCTGGGCTGGAGTACAGTGGCACAATCATAGCTCACTGTAGCCTCTAACTTCTGGGTTCAGGGATCCTCCTGCCTCAGCCTCCCAAGCTATTGGGGTTACAGGCATGAGGCATGACTCCCAGCTCCCAGCTTTCCTTTAAAGACCAGGTCTTGCTATGTTACCCAGGCTGAAGTGCAGTGGTGCCACCATAACTCACTGTAGCCTCAAATTCCTGGGCTCAAGTAATCCTCCCACCTTCCCGAGTAGGACTAACCTTGGGTTTTTCTTGAAAAAGCCTCTAACCATCGTTTGCTCAGAATTTTAAGGCTAAACCATGAGGGTTTTTCATGGTAAGAGTCATGGCCATTACACGCTGATTAATCAGGCAGCGCCACATTCCCAGAGTCCCCAGGCAGGCAGTGAGTCAATGGAAATCCCAAGTTGTCACGTTCCTGAGCCTGATATATTCCGGTGTCCCTCAACTGGTTAAAAGACTCAGAAGTGCTAAACACTGCACTCTGGATTCAACTCCCTGCTCATGGGGTTCATCCTCCCTTTCAAAAGCTTTTCCCGTTCATGGTACTTGCAAGCACAGACCTTGAGGTATTTTTCCAGCATCTTCACTATGTGTCTATTGTTCAAAACACTCTTAGCCACATGGAGACTGGTTTTCTTGAACTGTTCAGCAGCCAACTGCAAAGGGAACCAAATGTGAGCTTTTAAAAACAGCACAAATAAGGAAGAGAACAAAACAGCCAGGCTCTGCCGAGTCTTCCTGAGATCAGCCCTAGGCAGAGAAGCAAATCTCAAAACACCAGGCTTCAAGAAGAGAGAAGGCTCCAGAGAGACCGTGCAACCAAGACTAACGGACTGGAAAAGCTGAACAATCTTAAGAGATAAACACACAGATGTGCCACTGAGATCCATGTAGCATGTGCAGAATAGGGGGTGAAACAAGAGCATGTACAAATGAGAAGCTGTGCAGACTCAGTGGAGGAAGAGAGCAAGCTCTTTCTTTTTAGTTTTTTTTTTTTTTTTATTACATTGATGTAATGAGTTCAACAACAAAAGCATGACTAGGCTGGGTGTGGCAGCTCACGCCTGTAATCCCAGCAATTTGGGAGGCTGAGGCGTATAGATCATCCGAGGCCATGCGTTCAAGACCATCATGGCGAAACCCCATCTCTACAAAAAATTAGCTGGGCGTGGTGGCGCACACCTGTAATCCCAGCTACTCAGGAGGCCGAGGCACAAGAATCTGGGAGGTGGAGGTTGCAATGAGCTGAGATTGCACCACCGAATTCCAGTCTGGACAACAGAGACTCTGTCTCAAAAAATAAAAAACAACAACAACAAAACAAAAACAACTATGACTGCACCAAGCCTCTGACTGTTTTAGGGCCTGACTCATTTGCACAATGGTCCCTTGTTTGTATACCGCTTTTCAGCTGATCTTTTTAAAAAATTTTTATTTATTTATTTTTTTAAAGATGGGGTTTCACCATGATGGCCAGGCTGGTGTTGAACTCCTGACCTCAGGTGATCCACCCACCTCAGCCTCCCAAAGTGTTAGGATTACAGGCGTGAGCCACCGTGCCCGGCTCAGCTGATCTTTAATAGTACTGTGGCCGAGCCTGGTGGATCACCTGAGGTCAAGAGTTCAAGACCAGCCTGCCCAACATGGTGAAACCCCATTTCTACTAAAAATACATTAGGAGGCTGAAGCAGGATAATCGCTTCAACCTGGGAAGCAGAGGTTGCAGTGAACCGAGATTGCGCCATTGCACTCCAGCCTGGGCAACAAGAGTGAAACTCCATCTCAAAAAAAAAAAAAAAAATTCCAAAACCAAAAACAGTACTGTGAGATGGCTGGGGAGCTCTTGACATCCCCATTGAATAGCTGGATACAGTAAGAAGAGATATGCTAACCCCACGCCAGAAAGTTCCAGCCTGCGGACCAAACACAGCCACAGCCACTTTTACTGTCTGCTTTTCTGCACTGACAGTAGGTAGAGCTGTGTTGCTGAACAGACTCTATGGTCTGCAATGCTAAAAATATTCATATCTGACGCCTTACAAAAAAGAATGTGCTGACCCCTGAGCTCAACATTTAGCCAGAAGCCCCATCAGCTGGGGAAGGACAGAACCAGTCCTTTAGTCCAAGTCCCCTGGGCCACTCGGCTCTCAATGGCCCTCAGCTTCAGCTGATGGAAACCCCCAGGCCTTTAGTTACCAGGGAACTGACTGATGTGGCTTACAGGAAACACTCTCAAATCAGGAGAATCTCAGCTACCGCATTTAATTCATTCTAAGCAAAATGTTTTCTCACATTTCTATAAAAATATAGGCGAATCTTACAACCAATCAATGGAAGTGACAGACTTCAAACACAGCGAGAACCCCTGAAAATGTGGGTAATTCCCCATAAGACACAGCTGGCTCTGAGCCACAGCCTGCAACACGCACCCCAGGCAGTGTGGGGCGGAAGACTCACCCTGCGGTTGTGATTGTGGTCCATGGAGTGCAGGTGCCGCTGGAGGAGCTGCGGCTGCGCAGGGATCAGCATGTCGCAGGCCAGGCAGTGAGCAGCCTCGATCCTCTTGAAGAAGTGCTCCTGGCCAATCCCTGCGAGGAAATGCATGTCTTGGAGGGTCTGGGACAGCAAGTGAAGCTTTCCTCCTCCCACTCCCCAACAGGGTCCAGGTTTTCTGCCGGCAACACTCAGGAATCAGAAGGGCGTAGCCTGCCCTTCTTTAGGGAGTATGGGTCAGCACATTCGGCCTCTATAGCTGGGAAGTCTGCACATTTCAGCTTTTCTGTTCCTTCTGGTCCTTTCTTTTCAAACCAAGGAGGAAAAGACATCAAAGTGCTTAACGTCACTCTGATGTCAGCTATGATGTACGCAGAGCCACACCGAAGGCTTCTTTCTATTGCTGCTAAGCACTCTTCCCACAGGGCTCACTGCCACCTTCTCAGCCACCTCGGGCTGGCCTTGCGCCATGTTTCACGGGTCACATGCCTTGCCACCATCCAGGACGGCAAGCATCCTGCAACCACAACTCACCTTTGAAAGGATCTGGTTTTGGTTTTGGGCTCTCTTTCTCCATCAATTCCTGACGTCGCTTCTCAATTTTCTTATTTCTGTTAACGATGTATTCCTAAGGTGGATTTGGAGATGGCATTAAGTAAAATGAGAGGCTGGCACCTGAGGCCATTTCTCAGCTGCCAGGGCTAGGCAGGCAGCTATCAGAGGAGCTCCGTGGGCAGAAGAGTGGGAACCACGATGGCTGGAGCTCTTGGTTGTTCCTGTGACTTGGGGACTTACACAGCTGTTCTATCTGGGAAAAGAAACCTTGACCAAGTTTACACCTCTGATTTCCCTTCCTCCTTCAAAGGATCCGGCACCTGCGGAATTGGCGGGGGACGTGGTGACCGGGGGTCAGGTGTCCTTTACCTGGAGGAACTCCACCGTCTTGTCGGGCAGCTTGGTGCTTATAAACCGCAGCGTCTCTTTGTGAAATTTGCTTTGCAGATGCTTCTGGATCTCTTCGTCTTCAAAGCTACGGAACTTGCACACAGAACAGGCAAACTGAATCCTGGAGAAGGTAAATGAAGAGGGAAGTGAGGCAGGGAGAATCAGGTCACCTCTGGGGAGAGCTAAAATAGAAACAGGATTTTTCTTTTCTTTTTGAGACGGAGTCTCACTCTGTTGCACAGGCTGGAGTGCAGTGGCAAGATCTCGTCTCACTGTAATCTCTGCCTCCCAGGTTTTTCAAGCAATCCTCGCACCTCAGCCTCCCAAGTAGCTGGCATTAAAGGTGCATGCCACTGCACTCAGCTAGGGAAAGTGGTTGCTGAAACAAGAGTTCTGACTTCCCAAGGGGCAACAGAATAGCAGTTACCCAGACTTCCCTAGCTGAATAATAGGAGTATAGACTTACAAGTATCTCAAGCAAAGATTCGTAACCAGCTGACACTGTAGCCCCTCTGGCCCCAAAGCCCCTGGGAAAACACCGGAAAGCAATGACTGCTCAGAACCAGGGACCCCCTAAGCTCTGGCTGGTGACTCCTTGGGGCACAGCATCTACCTCCCAGCTTCTCAAATAAGCTTTGCTCCACAGCCACTGGGATGACACAAGACAACCTCATTTTACATGCAGAAAAAAGACCTCATACAATTCAAAACACGAAGCCCAAGATCAGTTCTCCCATGGGACTCCCCGTAAAGACATGTCACATCCAGTTCTACAGATAAAAAGTGAGGCTTCTGGCCGGGCGTGGTGGCTCACGCCTGTAATCCCAGCATACTGGGAGGCCGAGGCAGACAGATCACCTGATGTTGGGAGTTTGAGACCACCAGCACGACTGACGTGGAGAAACCCCGTCTACTAAAAATACAAAATTAGCCAGGCGTGGTGATGCATGCCACGCTGCTTGGCGAGAGAGAGGGAAGTACAGGCCCCAAGCCACCACACTGGGGTGCTACCTCCCTGGCTCTGTCCTGGAAGTTCCAGCCCTTCTGGTGCAGGGGTACAGGCCCTGTGGCACTCAGGATTTCACCTCTGCCAACTCCACACACCTGGCTTCTGACCCCTGACAAGCACCATGAAGACACTTCCACTTCGGGAGACACCCCCTACGGAGGAGAAAAGGGGACATATCCCGGCGCTCATACACAGAGCTGCCAGGAAGCTGCAGACGAGATGCACGCTTGCCTGCTACACCACTGCCTCCCTGTGACAATTCCTCTAAGTCCCTTCAAGATCCTTAAGTCCTTAGTCACTAGTGCAAGCTCTGAAGGTTTCTTTTCAAAAACAAGGCACCTCTTCATTGGAAGAACATACAAGATGATAAAATGCAAAAAGTAAAAGAATGTCATCTCTATGCCTTTCTCCCAGTACTCTGGGAGGCCAAGGCAGGAAGATCTCTTGTGACCAGTTCAAGACCAGCCCAGACAACAGAGCAAGACCCCTGTCTCTAATGAAGTCATCTCAATTTCCATGTGACATGGAAGTCATCTACTCTACCATTATTTATCTGTTTAACAATGGTTACAATGTTCCTGTACTAAAGAAGAAACGGTTCTTTTTTTGAGATGATATCTCGCTCTGTCGCCCAGGCTGGAGTGCACAGGTGCAATCTCAGCTCACTGCAACCTCCACCTCCCAGGTTCAAGCGATTCAAAATGAGGCCAGGTGCCGTGGCTTGTGCCTGTAACCCCAGCACTTTGGGAGGCCAAGGTGGGCGGATCACAAGGTCAGGAGATCAAGACCAGCCTGGCTAACATGGTGAAACCCCATCTCTACTAAAGATACAAAAAAATAAAATAAAAAATTAGCTGGGTGTGGTAGCACGTGCCTGTAATCTCAGCTATTCAGGAGGCTGAGGCAGAATTGCTTGAACCTGGGGGTGGAGGTTGAAGTGAGCCGAGACCGCACCATTGTCCTCCAGCTTGGGTAACAGGGCGAGACTCCATCTCAAATAAAAAAAAATTACTTTTTGAGCAGCTGGGTCACCAAGCTGGAGTGCAGTGGTGTGACCTTGGCTCACTACAACCTCTACCTCCCTGGTTCAAATGATTCTCCTGCCTCAGCCTCCCGAGTAGCTGGGAGTACAGGCAACCACTACCATTCTTGACTAATTTTTGTATTTTTAGTAGACACAGGGTTTCACTATGTTGACCAGGCTGGTCTTGAACTGCTGGCCTCAAGCAATCCACCTGCTCAGCCTCCCAAAGTGCTGGAATTACAGGTGGAAGCCACTGCGCCTGGCCCCTTTTACTAAGCATTTCTTTGCACAAGAAAATCGCTGTCCCATGCAAGCTTTAAGGTCAAGGATTCCCCAGCATCACATGATCACTGGGGATTTCAGTTTCTAGTCAGAAGCCAGTTAACCGCTGACAGGGAGTGGCAGGCACGTGATGTGGTCACACTGACATCCTTTGGGCTTGACATGTTTGCATTTCTTTTCTATTCTGGGAGAAAATCTTGATGGTAGGACCATCTCTCTACCTATCTCCCAGCTCTGTCAAACTCCAGGAGTGGTCTGGATTTGAACAAGGTGAATACAGGAAACTTGTCTGAGACCAGGCACCAGGTCATAGAACAGGGACACCCCTCAGGCCTGCAGGAGAGTAGGAGAGCCCCCTGCTGGGCAGTTATGGGCCACGCAGACTCACCAGCAAGGCTGAGATTCCAGAGAAATAGACACACCCAAGTCAAACACCAATTCCCTAAGCAAGAGCAAAAACCCAACTTCACCAAAGCAACATCCCAGCCATTCTAGAAGACATGCAGCATGTGTGCTGCGAGCACAGAGTGGCAGTGTCTTCTGCACCCTCAAATGTTTCCTGTTTTGCCTCCCACTGGCATGGCCCCGGTGCTGTGGAGCTAGGACAGGGGAGCTCGGCAGTGCCTACCCCGTGCCAGGTCCACCTCCTCCAGTGGGGGTAGTGCCAACGCCTCACCTGTCGGCTGCGCGGTCCCGCATCCTGTCTCTCCTCCTTTGCTTTTCCCTTCTCTTCTTTATTTCCTCGTCCTCATCTTCCTTCTCTCCTGTAACAGACAAGTCCCTTCGAGACACTCTCAGGGGCCCGCAAAGGAGCTGAGCTCCAGGGCCTGGTCGGGGGCTGCAGCTTGGCCACCGCACCCCGTGTCTTGCCACTGCCTGTACCGTGTGGCAGGGTCCAGGATGCCCCAAGGCACCAACAGAGACTTCCCAGTGGACATGAGTCTGGGGTGAGAACCCGGAGGAGTCACCTCACTCCCTGCATGGCCCGAGGAGGCCGGGACGGGCCAGGGACACGGCCTGTCTATCCCACGTGCACCACGGCCCCCTGCTCTCTCTGACCTCCCCATCCTGCTTGTCCAATCTAGTGCCCTGCAATGGGGTCTTCTCCCAATAACACAGGAGAAGCCAATTCTCCCCAGATGAAGAGGCAGCAGCTCAAGGCTTCAGGAGGTGAAGCAGCTGCTCTGCCGCCCTGTCCCACCTCTAGGTGGACCTTGATGAGTGTCCTGGCGGCCCTGTCTGAACTAGGGCCTCAGCAGGTCTGACAGTCCTTGCTGGCCCGACCTCTACCACTCACAAAAACCATCAATCTAGGGCTTTCCCAGGGCTGCGTGGGAAGCAATCCTAGAAACAAAAATGGGAAGAGACCGATTGGTCCTCCCGTCCGTCCCCCAGGGCCAGCACAGGAGCTCCTCAGAGAGCCACGCGGCCATCGTCCCAGCGTGAGGCCAGGCCGCGTCCCCGAGGCTCAAGGCCAGGGCCAGACGCTGAAAAAAGGTTGGAGAAGCATCTGAACTGTAACCCCTACCCCTGATGCCAGTCCCGAGACTGTCCCACGAAGATGGCGACCGGCGTGCGCTGCTCAGAAGCCTCTCAAAAGGGCGTGTGGGATTTTTGGCAAGAGGTCACTGCCTGAAACTATGACTGCTGTTTAATAGCAAAGTCATCCCGGGTAGGTAGCAGGACCTGTGCGCAACAGACATGTCACCTTTGCTTTAGCATTGTGCCATTAAGCGCTCAGGGCGCCCTGTGCTATGGACAGGACCGCTTCGGGTCGTTGGGGGAGGACTGCAGAGGGCATGCTAAGCTTCAGTATGTAACAGGAGGGGCATCTAAGCCACGTGCCTCAAATGATCAGGAGGAGCTGGGCCACCGAGGAGCCAGCCTGTGATCCTTGGGGTAACCAGCTACAGACAGAGCCACAGAATGGGGAAAGAAACAAGTGGCTTCAGGGCGAGCTCCATGCCACA